AAAAAAAAAAAAAAAAAATGCTCGAAAAGCACTTCTCTAAAATGCCTAAGATCCCTCTCTTCTTTCTTTCGAAACACCGATTCTTCAAGAAAACAGAGCCTTGTGGGCTCACTTACACTCCTTCCAGTTAGTGACCGGAACTGCCTACCGATATAATCGAGGAACCACAGCCGTTGCGTGCCGAGATCAACCAGTTCCTTCGACTTCTCGCCCAGTACCAGTAGCAGTGCAACACATGTTTGCACATCACCCTGCAAAAGTATCGATTTTGGAACCACATTAGCAAACATTTTGGTTCTGTTCACAAAAGGAGTACTTTGCTATTGCTTCTTTTACCAAACAACTTTTCTTCGAGCAATCGGACATAGAAGGACTAAGGGAAAATATTCAGGGAAAATAACATTGAAACATAGAACCTACCAAATCAGAATAAAACCTGAACACCGAACGCAGCAGAGGCAGCGGGTCCCACGGCGGCGTACACGCAAGCTCCGCTTTTATCGTCAAATTCCCTGAAGAACTGACAATAATCACAATCTCACAGATTGTCTCTGTATTTAAAACGACGCATCTCACACAATCAAGGCTGCCGCAACATGAAAGAACTCGAAAAGATACGAATAATATTGGGGGAACAGTCAGTGTTACAATCATTTTGTAAATACTCAAACACCCTAAAAATGCTTTGGTTCAAATGCAGTCACCTCTGACATTTTCTAATGCAATAACGGCTCAAAAGAAATTGCAGAGGACCGGAAATGTGAAAATTATCGAAACGAACTGGTATGGAAATAGAGTACCATACCAAAATAAGTGAATGAGTCTGACTGCCTAGTAGGTTGTGATGTCGCAGGACCCGGGGAATAGGTGGGTTTAAGTGTACATAATAATTTCCCAGGTAAATGTGTAAATAGTTCAACAGCACTCAGTTTAAAACGCCAACAGTCAGCAGCAGCAGGGCTGCGAGAAGGAAATATGGCTGATAATTTATAGCTGAAAAAAAGCGCTGAAAATATAAGAGCAGTAGTTTGTGCAGAACGGTTTAAAAACAGAAATGAGGCGCCGCATTTTCTAGAATTGTCGCAAATGAAGAAGGAGCGTAAGCGATCAACGAAATGAAGCACAGCAACACAACACCCTGCCAACTGAGAGTGGCGATTTCATTGATGCATAGCATTTGTACCCAATTTCTGCCCCGAGTAAAATACTCCAAACTGCGAGCGCACAAAGTTCTGGGCGTTTGTGAGACAAATCAGGCATTGTGAAAAAGAAAAATGAACCGATTTGAGACTGGCAGTTCATTTTATTTGTGCGACAGTCGGCCAACTTATCATCCGCCGATTCATCGGGAAACAGCGAACAACTCGCTTCAACGTCATCGAAGTCCTCGTACGGCCTTGGCGTGAACGCTTCCATTTTCAGATTTGTTGACCCTCTTGAGACGCTACAATGACAATTCCGACTATTTCCGTTCAATCATTGAAAATGTTTCAGAAAAAATGCCATCCTCAAAACCATGCACAATC